AAAAAAAAAATATGGGTGTGTAGGGCTTCTCCAGCCCTACACACTTATATATATATATATATATATATATTTTTTTTTTACACCTAAAAAATGGGAAAAAAAAATATTGCACCGAACTCGGCAGGTCGGCCTAGGCTGAACCGGGCCAATTCGGTCATCGGCGTAGGCCGCGGCCGACTCGGACCCCCGGCCGCGGCCGGGCGTGCAACATAGGTCAGGAGTAGATAACTCCGTTGCACATTGCTGTCTCAGTGCTCCCGCGTTTTCCCGATTAGTAAGGAAGGAACCATTATAAGAGCAGGTTGTTGTAACCTATGTTCACATGCAATTAACCAGGGGTGTTATTTTCGACCAATTTTGCACCGAATTGCACTGAAACTATCATATTGTGCTGATTTTGCTTTTTTTCTTGTTTTTCTTTTTTTGTGATATATATGTGCTTTAGGGTACGTCATGTGTGCAGTTTTGACATGTCTGGATCAATAATGAAAAAATTGGCACTTTGTTGAATTCGTTGGACGCTTCATTTTGACTCGGACAGTGTCTTTGTGTTAGGGTTTCATAGTGTTTTTTTGTTTTTTTTTTCCCTTCTTTTTGGCCTGTTTCCTTTTTTGATGTTTGCATTATGGTTATCCTTTGTTTTTAAAATTTTTGATGAAATTCGCACTGCAATTGCCAACGAAAACGACGAATATTTGGGCCTCCGTTAACCGTCTCTCAACTAGGCCTGTTACTGAGCCTCGGGAAGAGAAGCTTTTGGAGCCAGTCATTGCCAAGTTGCGGGAGCAGTATACAGATTTAGCTCAACCGCCTGCAGGGGTAGTGCCGAAGTCGATCCAGCATCGCATTGAAATAAAGTCTGGCAATAGAACTCCGAAGGGGGCAATGTATAGAATGTCCCCAAAAACGTTAGAGGAACTACGTAAGTAGTTAGATGAGCTCATAGAGAAGGGTTCGATTAGGCCCACTTCATCTCCGTTTGGAGCGCCTATTCTCTTCGTTCTCAAGAAGGAAGGTAAGCTTATAATGTGTATAGACTATAGAGGTCTTAATGCCATCACAGTGAAGAATGCAAAACCACTGCCCCGTATAGACGATCTGTTAGATTGGGTGCAGGGCTGCAAATATTTCTCGAAGGTAGATTTGAAGTCTAACTATCATCAGATAGAGGTTCATCCTAATGATCAGTATAAGACAACATTCCAGACTAGATATGGGCACTACGAGTTCATAGTGATGCCCTTTGGACTAACCAATGCGCCAACTACATTCCAGCATTGTATGAATGATCTGTATAGGCGATGGTTAGATAAATTTGTGGTAGTATACCTAGACGATAGTTTAGTTTTTAGTAAGATCCTACAGGAGCATAAGGGTCAACGCGAAGAAGTGCGAGTGGGCCAAGAGACATGTCTTGTACTTGGGCCACGTCTGAGACGAAGATGGCATATTAAAACGTGAGGATAGTAAGATAGTAGCGATCGGGGATTGGTCAACGCCCTGCACATTGACAGAGTTGTGGTCGTTTCTAGGCCTAGCGAATTACTACAGGAAGTTTGTGAGGAACTTTTCTACCATCGCTGCACCCCTTCGCAGGTTGTTAAAGAAAGAAGCAATCTGGGGATGAGATAAAGACTATACTTCGGCCCTAAAGAAGTTAAAGCAGGACTTGATAGAGTATCCAGTCCTCAAGGTAGTTGATCCATCTTTACCTTTTGTTGTCACCACTGCTGCAAGTCGGTATGATATAGGTGTTGTATTACAACAAGATGATGGCAATGGGTATAGACCCGTAGAGTTCATGTCTGCTAGGATGCCTTCAGAGAAGGTAGCGACATCAACCTATGAGAGGGAGTTCTACGCTCTCAGGCAATCACTAGATCACTGGAAGCACTACTTGCTTGGGAGGCACTTCAAAGTGTATTCAGACCACGAAACGTTGAGGTGGTTGAAGACACAGACCAAGATGACACCTAAGCTTACTAGGTGGGCCGCAGAGATAGACCAATTCGACTTTGTGCTCAAGCCAGTTAAAGGGAAGTATAATGTAGTTGTGGACACTCTAAGTAGAAAAACTGATTAGTTTGGAGCGATAGTTTACTATCTGGATATAGGGAGAGACCTGCAACAAAAAGTTAAAGAGGGATATGCGCACGACCCTATTTATAGTGATCTCCTCAATAGAGTTAAGGAGTTTCCAGAGTCTGAGCCATACTACCTCACTACGAATGGGTTACTATTTGAGAAGACTAACGTAGCTGACCGTTTGTGCGTTCCCAATAGTGAAGAGATCCATAGTTCGATCTTAGGGAATGTCACGATACAGAGGGACATTTTGGTTGACAAAAGACATTAGCCAACCTCATGCACGCGTATATATGGCCAGGTATGAAGGCTGACTGCACAGAGTATGTACGTGGTTGCAAAGTTTGCCAACGGAATAAAACCACTACGTAGACCACTCTTGGTCTTCTAAGACCCTTGCCTATCCCAGAGGACCCAGAGATTCTGTGTTCATTCACTTTATGGATGTTGGGGTCAAGAGTAGGCATGGCAAGAGCCAAGTCATGGTTATAGTTGATAGATTCGGCAAATACGTTGTTTTTGTTCCCTTGCCCGCAGAGGCACGTACATACTTAGTTATACATAAGTTTTTTAATCATTGGGTCAGTGAGCATGATCTCTCGCTGTCAATAGTTAGTGACAGAGATACCAGGTTCACTAGTCAAAACTGACAGGAGTTGATGAAAGTCTACGGCTCTAGGTTGCTGATGTCATCTGGCCGCTATCCTGAGACTAATGGTTAGAGTGAACAGATGAATAAAATCCTGCAGCAAGTTCTCATAATGTATATTAGACCTGATCAACTTAATTGGGATGAGATGCTTCCCAATGTAGCCAGTGCATACAATAACAATATGCACTTAGCGATGTGTCGCACTCCCAACAAGTTACATAAGTCCTTTAGACTGCGTAGACCGTTTGAGGGACTGAACCGGGATCAAATTCAAAGGCTACCACCCAGTACTAGGGAGTTTGCACTACACTGTGAAAAGGAGATTGCTACCGTCATACAGAACCTCAAGAAGGTCCAACATAGGATGATAGAGCAAGCCAATAAGAATTGTCGCCCATCAGAGTTTCAAGTAGGCGACTTAGTCTGGGTCAAGTCCAA